GCCTTCTGACACGTCAGACAGGCCGCCACATATTCAGCTATCTCCCTCTTCATACCAGACCACCAGAAAGTCTTCTTGAGGTCTTAGTACATCTTAGTCATACCTGGATGTATGCTAAGTCTGCTCTTGTGGCCTTCCTCCAACACAGCTCTCCTCAGCTCAGCATCCTAAGGTAGGCAGATTCTGCCCTTGAACCTCAAGACTCTATCTTCGCCCAGCTCAAAACCAACAACTTTCTTGGTACCCAGCAAACCAAGAAGCTTCACCAGCTCGACGTCTTGCAACTGTTGAGTCCAACCTGCCTCAAGAACTCATTAGTTATGGTAATCATCCCGCAACTAATGTGATCCTAAGCTAACTCCACACAGAGATTCAGATCTCTGAACTCCTCAACCAGCTCCAGCTCCCTCACCATCATACTAGACATGTGGATGGATTTCCTACTCAACGCATCCGCCACAACATTGGCCTTACCAGGATGATACATCAACTGGAAATCATAATCCTTCAGAAACTCCATCCACCGCCTCTGCCTCATGTTCAGCTCCTTCTGATCAAACAAGTACTTCAGACTCTTGTGATCACTGAAGACACTGAACCGAGCACCATACAAATAATGCCTCCATATCTTCAAGGCAAACACCACAGCTGCCAACTCCAAGTCATGAGTGGGATAATTCCTCTCATGGTTCTTCAATTGCCTTGAAGCATATGCCACTACTTTCCTGTTTTGCATCAGCACACACCCCAGACCCTGGTGAGAAGCATCACAATACACATCAAAGGGCTCACCAGAATCTGGCAACACCAGCACAGGAGAAGTAGTCAACCTCCTCTTCAGCTCATCAAAGCTCCGCTCACAGGCATCGGTCCAGATGAACGGCTGCTCCTTCCTCGTCAGCTGGGTTAAAGGCGCCACTATCTTGGAGAATCCCTCAATGAACCTCCTATAGTAACCCGCCAAACCCACAAAACTCCTAATATCAGTGACAGTTCTTGGACGCTCCCACTACAACACCGACTCCACCTTAGCCGGATCAACAGCAATCCCCTCAGCTGAGATCACATGTCCCAAGAACTTTACCACATCCAACCAGAACTCACATTTTGAAAGCTTAGCGTACAGCTGCTTCGCCTTCAAAATCTCCAGCACCACCCTCAAGTGCTCTCCATGCTCTTCCTGGGTCCTTGAATAAATCAAGATGTCATCAATGAACACCACAACAAACTTATCCAAGAACGGCCGGAAGATTTTGTTCATGTAATCCATGAACACAGCTAGGGCATTGGTCACACCAAACGGCATCACAATGTAATCGTAGTGACCATACCTAGTCCTGAAAGCAGTCTTCGGTATGTCACCCTCCTTCACCCTGATCTAGTGATATCCCGTCCTCAAATCAATCTTCGAGAAAACGGATGCTCCCCTCAGTTGATCCATTAAGTCATCTATCCGGGGAAGCGGATATTTGTTCTTAATGGTCAACTTGTTCAACTGCCGGTAATCAACACACAGTCGACTACCTCCATCCTTCTTTTTCACCAACAACACAGGAGCACCCCACGGCGATACGCTCGGCCGCACCAACTGTTTCTCCAGCAGGTCCTCCAACTAACCTTTCAGCTCAACTAGCTCAGCAGGAGCCATCCTATAGGGAGCCACCGACACTGGCCCCGCACCTGGAACCAAGTCAATGCTAAACTCCATCTCCTTGATAGGAGGCAACCCAGGTACCTCATCAGGGAATACCTCAGCAAAGTCTCTCACCACATCTATTTCAGTAATGACCCTCTCGGTCTCCACACTCAAAGCAGCAAGCAGAAGACAGCACTCTGCTCCATCTCTCAGCAATGATTCAGCTGGGCGAGCTGAAATCAACAACTCATCCTCCACCGGAGGAAAAATCAACCGCCTATTGGCACAATCTATAAGAATGCGATTGGCAGACAACCAATCCATCCCTAAGATTATGTCAATATCCACCAAAGGTAAACAAACCAAGTTCACCTTGTACTTCTTCTCATCACCACAATCGGACAACCAGCACACAGCTCGGAAGCAACTACCGAAGCAGAAGCAGGCGTCGACACTAGTAGTCTCGACCCCAAATCACACACAGGCACCCCCAGCATAGCAGCACATGCATATAATATAAATGAAGGAGACGCACCAGAAACAAAAAGGATCATCACATCCTTACCAACAGCTCTACCCTTCCCCTTCACAAGATTTGAGGAAGTAGAAGCTTCAGCCCCAGTCAAAGCGAATACTCTACCAGCTGTAGTGGGTCTGTCACCCCTCTGAGCATCACCTCTCTAGGTACCACCCCTCTGAGCATCACCCCTCTCTGGTCTACCTCTAGTAGGACAGTTGGCCGACTCATGACCCATCTGATGGCACTTGAAGCACCGACTCTCCGTGTGTGGACAATCCTTGACAAAATGGGGTCCAACACACCTATAACATCTCAGAGTGGCACCTCCATCCTGTCTACCTCCACCAGCAACACTAGAAGGTTGCCTAATGATAGGACCCCACTGTTGTGGTTGGGGCCTATCATATGGCTTCCTCTGATTCCCACCTCTCTTGGACCCAGCTGGTCCCTCAACAGTCTTCACAACACGGTTACCACCTTCCAACCGCTTAACAACCTTCGCCTTCTCCACTAAGGTCGGAAACTCAGTGATGGCCATAGGCACCACCACTCTCTTCAGATCATATTTCAGACCCTCAGCAAACTTCTTGCATTTCCAGGCCTCAACTATACCTTGCGAATAAAAACGAGCCAAGTGCTCGAATTTCATCGCGTACTCGGAAACTATCATCCCTCCTTGATGTAACCGCATAAACTCAGCTTCCTTGGCGTGCCTCACACTCTCAGGGAAATACTTCTCTAAGAACATCCTCCTGAAGCACTCCCAATCTACAACCACTCCTCTAGCGGTCAACATGTGATAGGTACCTCTCCACCAATGCTCAGCCTCCCCAACCAGCATGTACACAGCATATGCCAGCCTCCTCTCTAGAGAGCACCCCAGCACTGTAAAAATCTTCTCCAGCTCACAACCCAGCTCAGCACAAAAATATACATCTATTACAGCTTAACATCATGTCTCAACACTATCATCTAGTCAGCACAGCATATTCATCGATTTCAGCTTAATTCAGCATAAAACAACATCTATCAACAATTTAAGCAAGGTTTAACAACTATCAGCATATAAATCATCATCATCATACGCGCCCGGCGCACTTAAGGTCACGCCCGGTGTGACACAACCAGAGAGCACCAGGGGCCATCGCACCCGGCGCAAGAGCACTTGCGCCCGGCGTGGGGAAGGCAGAGACCTACCAAGGTCTCGCGCCCGTCGCAATTCGTAATGTGCCCAGGGCCCTCTTGGCAGAGACTCCCAAGGAGACTCCGCGCCCAGCACGACAATGGTGGCGCCCAGCGCAACACCAGAAAACCCAAAATATAGCACAACTAATATCGCGCCCGGCGTAGTCCAAGTCACGCCCGGCGTGGGCCATTTAGAGGCTCCCATTCTCAAGCTCGCCCGGCGCAAACACCTTTGCGCCCGGCAGGCTTGCCTAAATGGAGCCCCCTGGTGGTCACGCGCCCGGCGCGAAGAACAGCGCCCAGCGCGAGGTTCAGCAACAACACTCCATTTTCGAAAAACTTAACCAAATTCTGCAAAAACTGCCAGAAAATCAACATGCAAACCATCCAAAAGTTTCCTCTTTCATCAAACATCAATAAAAACGCCTCATTTCCAACATGCAAACACAAATCATCAAAAACCCCAAAATTTCTTCAAAACCCCGAAAACCACATTTTTCAGCAATCTCAACTCAAAAACCATCAATCATCAAACAAAAAATGAGTTTCTGGACTCATTTACAGCTAAACACAGCGAGACTCTAGCTTCCCTTACCTCGGTTCAAGAATTCCGAGCTCCGGGAAGAGAAGGAAGAAGGAGGAGAAAAGAGAAGGAATGGGAAGCTCCGCACGGCACGGCTCTGGAAGGCACAAACACCTACTCAGCTCCTTCAATCCAAAGTCACCACAAGGAATCAGCCAGCAAAATGGAAATGAGAGTGAGTGAGTAGCAAGGAGAGTGAGTAAGTGAGAGTGAAGGGGAAAAGAAAAGGAGAAAAGGGGTCTCACATTAATTACACTTTTAAAGTTTTTTATACTATTTAAAAAATAATGAATTTTTTATTGATGTTATTCAATCTCTTTTTAATGTCTTTCTTTCTCCATAATCTTGTAAATTGTCCAAAGTAAAAAATAATTGAGTGATTCTTTGTTCATGAAAATACTTCGAGCAATATTTAAAAACTTAATGGTATGTTTGGATGAAGAATTTACAAATTTAAGAAATTTTAAATTCTTGGTATTTGAATTACTTTGAATTTAATTTCTATTATTCTTAAAATATTTTATTTGGATAAGTCAATTCAAATTTCTTTTATTTTAAATTGTTAGGTTGGATATGATAATTTGATTCTACTATAGTAAGATTGATTTTAAAAAAATGTTTATATGTTGAGATTTTTAAATTAAATTTTAAAAAATAAATATTAGCTAATTTTTAAATATTTAATAATTTTAAAAATATTCTTGAGTATTCAATAATTAAAAACATGAAGAGGTAAGAGATAAGATAAAATATATAAGTGAAATAAGAAAAAAAATAAGAAATTTTAAATCCTTACTTTTTTGAGAGAATTTAAAATTTGACTATTTCAAAAAATTTCATAAATTTTAAATTTTGAATTTTTTATAAATTCTTTATCTAAACAAGCTATTTCACTTCAAAAAATTTGAAATTTCCCAAACAAATGAATTATTCCATTTATAAGGAAGAATATGGCTTTTAAGAGAAAATCTTTTAAATTAATAATTCTATAAAAAAATATAAAATTACAAATATTTAAAACGTTTGGGCCCCAAAGAGATGAACACGAGGCCCAAGCATCCGTTTTAAAAGCTTGCCTGAGTCGTTTTTTCAAGTATTTTCAGTGTGCAGAAGCTCCGTACCCTAAACCCAAACCCTAGAACCTTCTTCCGTCACAGTTCGCCGGAACTAGCGATGGATCCTCAGCCTGAGCCAGTCAGCTACATCTGCGGAGGTTTCTTCTCTGTTCTCATCTCATTCGTTTTTCATTCACATATATGCGTGCGTGTTTTTAGGGTTTTGAAAATTAAGTGTTATCTTAAGCGTGTATCTGAATTTACGTATGCATAAACTTCAGATTGTGGTATGGAGAATACGCTGAAGCCTGGTGACGTTATACAGTGCCGTGAGTGCGGTTACCGAATCCTTTACAAGAAGCGCACTCGTCGCAGTAAGCTTCAACTTTCATTAATGTCCTGTTTTATGTATAATTTCTCTGATGAGTTATTGTTTGCTTTGTTCTCTTATTATATTGAACAATAGAGGTAATTAGTAATTATCTTTGCCGGTGATTTTTTTTTTTTGCTTTTTCTGATTATTGTTTATAAAATTTTAGCTATTTGATTGGAGAAGAGTGAGTTTAAAACCAAGTCTCTGGTTTAAGTTGCTCGTTTCAGTCCAGTGTGCAACAGTGTAGCCTAAGGCTTTGTTTGTTTAGAGCTTTTAAAAGCAGTTTTCTTTTTTAAAGATTTGTATGTCCACTGAGCACATATTGGAAGTGTTTTTTCTTGAGCACGTTTCTGTTGAGTTTTTTTGTCCCCTGAGCACTTGGTGAAAACAGAAAGAGAGGATGAGAAGAACATCTTTAGGTTGTTTCTGTTTTTTAAACACGGGTTTTGGATTAGAAATTGATTGTTGAGGAGTTTAAGATTATTTTGTAAAATAATTTTTAATACTAAAAAGTAAGAGGGGTATGAAACAGACCCTAGTTTTTTTTTCGTCCACATTTAATGCAATGAAGGTTATTATTGTGATTTGGTTTGGCACAGTGGGCTGGATTACTTTTTAAAGAATCTGACAGATAATTCATTTAATATTGGAACAGGAAAGAAAACTTTGCTTGTGAAACATCAGATTTAGAGTTCCGAACATTAGGATAAGTGAAAATTCGAGTATTTAGGAAGTAAATGATTTGAACTGACCTCTAACATAGCATTTGTCCAAAGAATCACCCCTGATTGATAACTATTGACTATTTGAACTTGATATTATCTATGATGGACTCCAACCTGGGAATTTATTCGACACAAGTATCTCAACAATATATTTCATCTTTCTTTATTGTGAATCATCTTTGTACAGTGGCTGTTTATCTGATAAGTCTATGATAAGGTCTTAATAGCTGTTGCTTTGCAAATTGAACACTATTCATTCATATACTGATAGGTTTAAATTTGATTTTACATATTTTGTTAGTTCCTGGCATGGATATAATTGTTGACCAAATTCTTCTGTTCATTGAGAGAAGTAAAAATTAACGATAAGGGTATTTGGCCTTGTATAATTGTGTATTATTATTTTTGGCAGTGCATATTTGCAAATCCTTTAATCTCCTGATTGACATGTGCAAATACAACTTCTACAGTTTATTTAATATTTACTTCTTGCTGTATATAGATGTCAGGAAGGTTAGCATGCATATTTGGTTTGGTGGTAACAAGGGTTCAAGTTTTTATGGCAAATAAGCATGCTTATTTTGGGGATGTAAGAAATGTGAAATATTGTGTGGGTTTAAAATTCCCTCTTCTTACTCTTTCACATCAACTCAGCGCACTCTCCCTCCTAAAGCCCATTTGCTTTTCGTTCCAACCTCGTGAAGCACCTTGCTAAGTGATGCATGGTGCACCTTTATAAGTTTGTAAAAATTGTAAATCGGTCCCCCTCACAGTCTAGTTGTCTAACACTAGCTCATAATGAGTCCTTTCTGTTCCCCCTTTTGCATTTGAAATTCAAACTACCGTGGGCTGTTGGGCACAGTTCCTGACCACATGGTAGCAGAGCTTTATATGATCCCGAGGCAGATGCTTATCCTATTGAACAAAACTTGAAATACATAATGAGATTATTATGTTCGAACAAGACTTTGTTATGTTGTGTGACTTTCAAACATATGCTTAAAGCAGTTGTTTATTTTCTGATGCACATGCAATTTACATACTGTGCTAAAAAAATCTGGTCTTATGCAGTTGTCCAGTACGAGGCACGCTGAAGAAACTCTCAACATTGACAAGTAATTTCCATGAAGAAATTGTTGCAGTATCTGTGCTTGGTATTAGGTCTATGATATTTAAGTTTTTATACAATGATGATGCGAGTAATTCTACTGTACGATTGCATTTGGGTGATGTTTAGAAAAGGATAAAACTTTGAAATGTGAATATCTATTACGAATATGTGTTCATTAGTGTGTAACTTTACATCACTATTGTGGTTAAGAATTTTAAGTTTTAACTATTAAAGAAAAAGTATCGGTTCTCAAAATGGATGAAGCTGCCGTGTGTTGTGTGTATTTGGATTATAGTCTGCTCACCAAAAGCTTCAATTGGGACTTAAAAATAATTCTATATTCAGAAATAACATTGTCAAAGCTTTTGGATTACATCTAAAGAAAAATGATCCATTTTGGATATCAGCTCGTGGCTGACACTAAAATTAATAATAGCTGATCGTATAATAATTATTATACAGAAATCAATAGATACGAACGTACGTTGTATATGATTTGGAAAATGGTAGTTTTACAAATCAGCTTTTGTATAAAAATAAATGGACTGTCAAACACAAACATATATATAACCAACAGTTTTAAAATAAAAATGTCTGACGTTATCTTTTTATGCTTACCGTGCCTCTTAATTTCGTACTGAACCGTAGCATGTTTGGTTTCTCTGAATTAAATTATATACTCATTAAAAAAAAGTCGTGTAAAACTCCTTCATAATGATACACGTGTTTGCTTGATTTAATTTTGAGTTTTGTGAGATGTTTTGTTTTGCTTGATTTAATTTTGAGTTTCGTGAGATGTTTTGGTTTTTGTAAAGATTTTTGAACATTGTATTTTTGAAATTTCAAACGACTATGTCATCCCCCTTTCGGATGAAAAAAACAAAACTGTTAACCGCGGATATTTATCTACAAATTTGTCATAGTAAATGGATAATTAAATGATATCCCTTTAATAATATGGTGAAGGTAGAGGCAGGTAGTAAGTTGTGGGCATTCGTACCTTAAAAGTTATAAAATATTTTTTTATTATATAAAATAATTTGATTTAATTATTTTTTACTATAAATATATATGTTATAATTGTTTATTTTAGAGTAAATATACTTTACAAAAATATATATGTTATTTATTTTTAATTTATTTTATTTCTTACCTTTATATTTAAAGTTTTTTTTTTGTTTAACCAATATCGGATATTTGTAAACATATGAAAAATTTATAAATATTTAGTAAATAGATTGGTAGAATTATATATCCGATTAATACTATAATTAAAAATATTATATCAATGTTTATGAATTGTTATAAATCATTTATAGACATCTTTATAATAAATATGTTATCACAATGTTGGTCACATTAAATATGTTATCACAATCTTTGGATGAAGTAAAAATGACAATTACAAGACTTATCAAAGTTTAGTGGAATTCTATCTTTTTAATTTCTCAAATCTTAACTTAATATCTACCTATCACATATATTAAATTAATTAGACACTATATAAAAAATTTAACACACTTATCTATTGGGTGACTTAATAATTGGATATATTTGTATGATAATTTTTAAATCCAAAATAGATCACATAATAAAATAGACTTATAGGAAAAACATGTGAGGTAACATTCAACTCATCTTTATAAAATAAAATTACACCAATTAGTAGTAACCAAAATAAATAAATAAATCAGACATTGACCTAGGTGATGCATGGGTAAAAAAGTGAAATTATTTAAATTTTATCTAATTAAAAGTATATTAAATTTTATAATTTTATGTGTTAATTTAAATATAATTTTTTAATTATAATTTTTCTTTATTTTTACATTGAAACAATATTTAATTAATAGTTTTTGCATAATTATCAACACTATATATTTTTTGTAGATATTTTATATTTTTGGAACATTCTTTTTAAACATGTTTTTTTTATTAGAAGTTTTAAAATATGAAAGAACACTACTTTTAATATGAATATGCTATATTATGAAATAAACAATTATATATATTATTAAATTGATTGATATTTAATTATAAATTATAATCAATTAAAATTATATATTAACTTAATATAAATTACAATATAACAATTATTATTGTAATTAATTTTCTTAAATTAAGCATAAATTATTATACTTAAATATGTACAAATTAGTTTAAATTTATCATTTGTAAAATATGTAAAAAAAAATGAATAATATAAAAAGTTAATGGTGTTATAATTTTATAACAAAATTTTGTTAGTTTTAATTTTAAGTGAGAACATATAAATATTATATCTACAATAATAAAATAAAGGAGATGTGCTGTTTTGGTGTCCACTTTTAGAAAGTCAGTTATACTTCTATTTTATATTCTAATTTTTAATTTACTAATATATATGTTAAGGATGAAATAGAAAAAGAATGCATAAAAAAAAATTGTTCTTTCTACTGTAAATTTTTTTTTTCATCTATTTAAAAACAATCCACTTTTTTTTTCGAGACACAAAGTGTCTTTTTCCTTACTAGTGATTTTTAATATTTATAACAGAGCATAAATTATTTTTTTAATTAAATACTAGTATTTTAGTATATGTAATGCACATGTATTTTTATTATACATAATATAATTAAAATTTATAACAATATATATATATATATTATATTTGAATACATAAATTATATTTAAAATAAATATACATAAATATTTTAAACATATAAATTATATTTTATATTTATGATAAATGATTATTTGTATTGTGATCTTTTTATTTATTGATAATTTATTTTAAAGTGTCATGATCACCACACTCCGCAACAACAACTAAACAACCAAAAAGTATATTAAAATAGTATCATCTAAAGATATACAACTATTCATCACAAGTTGCCCAATTGTCAACAATAAATATATACAACTAACTACAAAATATACTTTACCACAAGGGTAGTCTACAAAATATATATAACTCCATCTCCAGCCACTAAGTGACCTCCAGTTACAATACTCCAGTCTATCATTGCCTTGCTCCCATATAAAGTATAATCATCGCAGTCCAAATCACATGGAAACATGCAAGGGTAAGCTAGGTAAAATAAACAACTCATAATTAATACAACGTAACATTAGCATCATCATCATCAAATCCAACACATACAACTAACAACACATATACTACACATCTCAACACAGGGTCAACACAACATCACATATCAACACATATTCAACTCATCAACATATATGCATCGTCACACATGCAACTCGGAGATCTCCTATAAGACAGGGTGAGCATTCTAAGTGGTTAGGTCCTATCGAACCGATAACACAATGATTTTTTTGGGCTTGCTAGATCAACAACAAATTGGATATCAATCCACAACACGATAATGATTTCTTAAACTTTGTCACTTAAACAAGGAAGTATAATACTATGTCAGGATAGAATAGCTAGGTATAGTTCTACCACGACATTAGCTAGCTTAACTAAGCTACCTATGGAATTAGCCTACCGACTATCCCCCAAATACTACAACCCTCCAATACTCGGTTAGAAACTAAATTTCTGACTTCGTACTTTACTCGAATTGACCGCTTGTAATCAGTATAGCTCAACCTGATCCCTATACTTTGGTCGCTTTATACACGTGTGTCTTGACCTTGCCTGCGCACGATATTAACTAAGTCCTAGAGAAGAACACCACAACATCCACTCCAAGAAACAACTTCCCAATGAGGGTTTCTCAATAAATTGGGCTCTTAGAGCACAACACACCCAATCCACACAATGGGATGAACAACTTTCAAAATATCTCCTCTAGTCCTAAGTGGTCAACAAATCTCATCAACTCAGCATAACAACACAGTTTCATCAACATTGTTTAACAACACATTTTAACAACACAACACAACTTAATCAACTCACAACTTTGAACTCATATAACATCTCTACACAAATACATAACTTTACAACTCAATTACAACATGCATCTCATGTTTCATAGTTCAATCATCATTATGTACTTCAACAACACATCAATATTCAACACATAAAACAACATACAACTAATTCACTTTTCAACATACAACTTAACTACAGATTCAACCATGCCAACTTACACAGCATAAATCAACTTAAACACCCAAAAAAACTTTCAACTTAACCAAATCACTTATTGTGAAATGGCAACCATCACATAAAACAGCACATATGAAGTTATACCACTTCTATCATGATCATCCTTATCTCACATGAAAGATTTTCTATAACTCTCATGAAGACATCCAGTCTTAAATCCATTATCTACCTTATTAAAAAATGTAAAAACTGCAACAATTTTTTCCCCACGGCTACGACCATGAACCACGGCTGCAACGATGGATCTCTTCCATTCTCTCTTTGTCCATGGCTGCGACCATAAACCATGGATGTAGCGATGGATCTCTGTCATTCTCTTTTTCTTTTCACGGCTGTGGCCATGAATCATGGTTGCAGTGATGGGTCTCTACCATTCTCTTTTTTTCCACGGCTATGGCCATGAACCAGGATTATGGCCATGAACCATGGTTGCAATGATGAGTGTAGAATTTTATGCATTTCCATGGCTTCCACCTTCGACCCTCACCTTCCCTTCACCAATTTTCCCCCTAAACATGATCCACACTCATTATCACTTCCAGGTTCATTCATGCAACTCAGAAACCTCAAAAGGAGCAATATGTAAACATAAAAATCAAAGAAATCGCCAACATTTCAACTTTTCATCAAGAACACCCAAAACCCCAATTTTCAACATGCAACCCATTTGAATTCATCCTAACAACTAGATTTTAGAATTTCATCAACAATAGTCCAATGTTTCAACCAAAATCCAAGAATTCTAGCTTCCCTTACCTCGAAACGGAGTGAAACCAAAGAACTCTGAGTTACGTTGAGGAAGAAGAAGGAGAAGAAAATAGAAAAGCTCTAGAGTAGAAAAGGAGAAGGAGAAGAAGATCCTGTAGCTAAAGTTCCCCAACCCTGGAGCTCGAACTTCCTAACCCGTTTCTAATGCTCAGCTATGAAAGAAGGTAAGGAAGGAAGACTCAGGTGAAAATGAAAAGAAGAAGAGAAAGGAAAGAAAGGAGAACTTTTCTCCTCTAAGTATTATCTTACAAAGATTATTAAAATTTAATTAATAAATAATTATGATAAATAAAAGTTGAATTAACTAAGAGGTTTAATTTTTTTTTACAAACTCTCACGTTGAAGAAAAGTTTCTAAAAATAATCTCGCTC